TCATTCGTGTGTGCAATCATAAAAGCATGCTGATATCAAGGCCACAATTTGACGATCGACGATCGATGCACAGCTCATGACAATTATTTTCTGGCTGCTTGTTTTTTTTTGGGGGGGTTACTCTACTTAACCGATTGGTGAAGCGAGTTTTTTGCTGTCTCTCATAAGATATCATAAAAAAGTTGCAGTCAAAACAAGACTGGCAAACGGTTGGAATGGAATCTTGTGTAACATAAGCATTTCGGTTGGCTTGCATGTCGGGAGGCATACAAATGGAGATGGCGTTTCGATTACGATTTGCATGATGAAAAGAGAGCTTAAAGTTATGCACACTTTCCAGGGAAACAATTGAGTAATCGATAAATCTTTACAAATATAGCCAAGACCCAACCCCCAAGTTCTTTCTCGTAAATTCCTTAATAAGGAAATAGTCAATGTACCTGATTCTACCATGGCTGCTACATAGTAGTATATAGTAATCTAACCCAACCTACAATGTAAGTGTCGTAAATCATTTGACAAGAATGTTAGCCACTTTCCTACTTTTATATGGGAATACCTTTAGATGAATAATTGTACCTTTCCATGTATCTACACGCGAGTATGTATCTATCCATCAGAGATTTCAAAACCACTCTTCCCTTCCATTCAAAGTGATGACATGATACACACCCTATGTTTTTTCCATTTCTCTACTTCTCCATCAATCTATCTATTTAAGACCTTGACAAGGAAAGTGTTCATACCATGCGCCATATATGTGTGTACCTACTCCTTACAAGTCAATCATAGCGAAATCTACTCATATTTCAATGTATTTATCCATTTTTGAATCTATCCCATGGCGCGAAAACCACTCCCATGGCTTCCCGCGAAAACAATCCTCAATCGTTTTCCAGCTATTCAATAGAGGAATCTATAAATCTCTGTTATTGATACCATTTTTGGCATTTACTTGTGCTGACAAATTTGTTGCCAGATGCCTATCCTCCTTAGCGGGCAGTAAATGCCAGCTATGACACAACTATTGACCAATCTTTGAAGTAAAGGTTTCACCCGCTCCTCGCCCGCCCCGTTTCGGGTGCGTTTTGTTGGCGGTTCCAATACGTGGCGCGACGCGGTGCGGTGCGGCTCTCGCCCCATAGACACTTCCTAATGGGTCATTAGTTAAGCAAACACCCAGTCGGCAATAAAAATAACTACAAGGCAGTGCAGAATAATAAATAATGTCGCATTCTGCAGCGTTGTCCATTGTAATCGATTTGAGAATCGCAGAAAGAGCAGAAAAAGTGTCAAACAATAACGAATCGCATTAAACTGGAATTGAATTGAATGTAATTAATCAACAATAAATCTATTATGCGAGCAAATGATTCGAGAAAAGATTCAATTAAACCAACAAACAGTGGCCATAAATATGTATAAATAATTATAATTCATAGGCCAAACACGCAGGCCAGGCGGCCAAAGTGCAAGGCAATGGAGTATCCATTTTCTTGGAACATTTCAGCACTTTTTCAACTTTTTTTCAAACAACAATTCAACATGACAACAATGAGGCTCTCTATTTATACAAACAGCTGCAGCAATTTAACACTTGACATTGTTTTGGATGGAGATTGGGGCCTATAGACGCGGGGAATTACTTGATGTAATTGTCATTATTACATACGAGATTCAACTCGAATCGAGTTCAAGTCCAGACTGTGTTTGTACGAGTATCTGAATCTCTGTCTCACAATTTGCCATGCGGCTATATAAAGCTTTTTTAATTAATATCGATTTGGTTTCGATTTGATTTGATAAGGTGAAGTGAGTTTTATATACGAAAACATACAACAAACAACACGCAAATTGAGATGAATTGGGGGCGGGGGCCACCTTTGAAGGCCGTTTGTTCGCAGCCGTGTAATAATTTGTCAAACACGATAATGCAAAGCACTTTGTAGTCGAAGATGAAGACTCTCCTTTGTAACCCCAAAAACCCGATACTCGTTTTGCAGCTCACTCCATGCCTGCTGCTAGTCACAGTCGCCAGCCTCGGCCTCCAGACGCAGGCCATCCGGGTGGACTGGGGCACGAACACGGGACCGATAGCGCCGCTGCCGCCACGAACCACGCCACTGCCCCCGCAGAAGCCGTACCGCGAACCGGCGCCTGTATGGGAGGATCAAAGCAATGACACACCCAATCCCAATCCCTATGTGTAAGTGTAAAGGGGTTTCGGGAGGAGAGGCTCACCTTTTGATCTGTTGCCTTTCACTCTTCCATTTCGCATAGGTACGTCTTGCCACCGCCATCCCGTCCTCGCACCTGGGCCATACCCGCCGGACCCTATGCCCCACCCAACTACAACAATCTGCCGCCCAGGGGCAACTCCATCAACTATGGACAGCTGGCCAGCTCCGTGTACAGTGCAGGAGTCACTTCGGTGCCAGGATTGGCGGCACAGTATGTCCCCGGCGTGGGCATCAAGTACACGGCCATTGTGTTGCCCGACAAGCTGCAGGGCAAGTACAATGCGAAGACCAAGAAGTACAAGGCCTACGAGAAGGCGGCCAAGCATGCGTATCCCTGGAACTATGTAAGGCAATACGAGAGCCGCAAGCGGTATCTCCGCTACTGATATATAATACCGATATATACTTTACACCTACCTGATATGCATTTAGATCTATATAGAAATTGTACAAGAGATTAAAGCCAATCCTCACAAAACACAAACCCCCCGAGAAAAACTGCTTTTGTAAATGCTTTTCTGCCAAAACCAAAACCAAAACCACTCCTACTCGTACACATCCCGCTCACTGTCCCTTTCACAATCATCTGCAATCATGTCCATGTCCATGTCCATGTCATAATCGCATACATCATTTCGTTGCAGTTGCAGCAGCTGCCAGTGGAAGAGAAGGCCTTGGAGTGGCAGGCGCAGCTCGAGAAGCAGCTCGAAGAAGAGGCCGCCCAGCAGCAGCACAAGCACAAAGATCAGGCTCTGCCTACCAGTTCCTCAACAACATCCACTTCATCTACAACTACGAGTACCACAACGCCAGCACCAGCAGCAGCACCCAGCCCCAGCCCCAGCCCCAGCCCCAGCCCAAGCTCCAGCCCAACATCTGCCACATCAGACACCGCAGACACCACATCGACATCGGCAATACAGCCCACAACAATTGCCAATTACAAGGTGGCACACGAGAAGAGCGCTCACCTGAGGAAGCTCACCAAGCAGAAGAGACTCCATCAGCTGCACCTGGAGATGGAGAGGCAGAAGGAGAAGCTGGCCAAGAAGCAGGAGCAGGAGCTGCAAAACTCGTTACAGACCAGTTGAGCGATGGGCGGGCCAACAATATAAAACAGAGGAAAACTACACGAAACAAAAGTTAAGCTTAAGTCTTACCCAAAATGTTGTAAATAACTATTAATAAAGAAAAACACCCCGTAATAAAACTTAAATGAAGAAATCCTTTCGACTATAAACTACCTGCTAATGGGGTAATACTCAACTAAAACACTAAAGAATGCTAGCGAACTCTTCAAGAAACCCTCTTATAATGAGAAGTCTGAAAGGAGAATGGGAAAACCCTTTTGGATAAATGTGACTAAGTTGCGTATCGTTGAATTTTCAAATTCTCAGCGATCTAGGAGTCCATACAGAAAGACAGACAGAAAGAGCTGCAACGAATCGTATGTTCATGCAAAATCAGTATCATGTGTACTAAATGGACTCGTAAACTCTATTTTTCCCTATCACATAAACTTCCACCAATGCAATATAGCCTTATGCTATAATCAACTGTTACCGGGTACAATCTTTCGGCGAAAAACAAAAGACTTAGGCAACGAACTAGAGCCGGGGGCATGTGTGGAAACACACAACAGAGAGCGTGAGGGAGATGGCGCCTAAAGTGTCTTTTAATTGCCTGCAGGGGTCAAACAAAAAGGTCAAACGGGACAAGGTGAGCTGTCAAATGGACTAACGGAGCCCAGGCCACTGATTGGCACTTTCTTGAGCGACTTTTCATAGCCTCCGGCACACGAAACTCGACAAAGGAAAAAACCGAACTAGCCCAAACACAACACAACCCCTGGCAATTAGCCAGAGAGCAATTAGCAGTGTCGTTGAACGGCAGCCACTGGGCCATCATTTACTGGCTGATCACAGAGCGGCCTGATCGCAGACCAGACCCTGACCGCCAGACGTCAAAGGCAGCAGCCACCAACCACCAGCGAACAGCCACCAGCCACCAGCCATGGAAACAATATAATTAGCACGAAATATTGAACCAACAAAAATACAATCATTCGTTTTTAACTGCACCTTAAATATATGAAGTATATTCCTCTGGTTTCGGTGGGGTGCCGTTAACAGAGGCATGGATTGTCAACGGGTTTTATGAGCATGTTTGCTCAGCTTTAATAGCGCGCCGCCTGCCAGAAATATAACTCAACAATAGCCCGGACGGTGTCCATTAATTATAATTAAGCTCGCAATTCATGGCCTGAAAAGTGAGCCAACATCATCAGCAGCAATTTCTTGGCTTGCAGAACACACTAAATGTTAAATTAAAGGTAATTTTTTAAGGTTTAAGGTGTTTGTGTAGTTAAATGGAATTTACATGATTGGAAAATGGAATGTGAGTTAACGGAAGAGATGTTTGTGTAGTCTATGTTTTTCTGAGGTGCTAAATCTCTTTTGAACTCCATCCGAAAGTTAAAGAATGGTTCTCCCATGGTTCCCATTTAAAATAAACCTCGATTCACTTCCAAATGATTCATTCAAGTTGATTAATTTAATATCTAAAATGATGTACATTTTATAATTCATACAATTTTACGTTCAAATTTGGTGTACTCCTCCCGAAATCAATTTAAATTTCAAGTTCGAAATTCACTTAAAATTTCAGCGAAATCATTGGAAGACAATTAAACATTTTGTAATTAACGGATGGGCCAAGGACCGCTTTTGTGGTCCGGTTTTAGGCCTCGGGCACCTGCCACTAAACCACAAATGCCACAGGCTCCGCCAGGGCCAGGGGGCGAGACGGCTGCTTGCGCCGGAACTCCAGGGACTGATGTACTCGGCTGTGGGCCGTTCGCTGCTGAATGACAGCCCTAAAGCCCTGGTGGGGTCCGCGTACTTCGTAGTGAACGCTGCGTATGTGTCCCCCAGGCTCCAAGTGGCTGTAGGTCCCAAGGACGTGATCTCCATGACGCTGTTCTCGATGGAGGATGTGCACTTGACTCTTCGGATCGGAAATGTGATATTGATGGGCGTAGTGGAGCTGCTTGGGTGACACACAGAACGAAGAGTCACGAATGGATTGATGGTTCCCACACTCACCCTTTCCTCATCATGATTGTGGCCATAATCATTATACGATTCAATGTATGTCGTCATCACACGCTGCGTATGCGCAATCTGTAGGAACAGCCACAGCCGCAGACAGAGTAAGAGGTAGCCAAATGCCATCCTGACCGGACACGTGGTCATGAGTTGCTGCCGAAATTAATTTGATTAGAAACGTAACGAAACGACAGCCGTGTCAGAGGGGTGTCCAAAAGGCTGACCAGGAGGTGTGGCCGGGGTGAAAATCATTTGCACTTTACAGCAGTTGCAGCCGTAGTTGCAGCAGCAGCCGCAGCAGCAGTTGAAAGCTCGAAGCGGAGCAACTTCCTAGCGCTGGTGCAGTGGCTGATGCTGATTACATAGTCACGTTGTTAACTACATCTTCACGGTGCAAGCAGCAGCAGCAAGAGCAGCAGCAGCAGCAGCAGCACCGGGAGCAGCAGCAAAAACGAACCTTGCAGCAGAGTGTGGTGTGGAGTGGTATGGAGTGGCAGTGCGGTGCATGCCACAGTTGGGCAATCAAATCGAATCAAAGACCAGCATCTTTCACACTTCGTTAGAGGTAAAGCCATCGCCGCCATGGACATGGATTTAGTCAAGGCAATTTAGTGTCAAAAAGCGAGCACTCGATAAAAAAACAAAAAAACCGCAAAGCGAAAAAACTCAACGGCAATATGCACATTATGGATGGATGCCCAAACCCCATCTCAGGCCCGATCTCTGGCTGTTGGCTAACATGCCCTAACGTGACTCGGGGGCCTCGAATGGATTGGCTTGACCCAGGCGCCTGGGTCCCTTTTTTTGCTGAGATTTTCATGGGTTTGGCTTTGGCTCTGTCCGGAGATTGCCGTTTATGAGGCACGAGTTGCAACTTTCTTTCTCTCTTGCATCATGATGGTTAACGTTTTTCTTTTTTTCTTCCCCACTTTTTGCAGCACGTTTCACTGCAAATGCAAAGATTTGAACAGCAGGTGACGCCATCGCCGTCGCCATCGACGTCGCCATCGACGTCGCCATCGCCACAACCATCGTCCACGTTCAGGTCTTCCATTTGGGATGCTCAACAGTTCATAAAAATCAATGCCCTTTTGATTAGTTACAGCTGTAATTGTCCGCAAAAGTTAGATCTTTGTGAAAGGAAACCCCAGACTCGCAGCTGGTCCTCCTCTCCATCGACTGCTCTTCAGTAATAGAGAAATTGTCTAATTAGGAACCCGACTTTGAGTACAACTTTCGATTGGTCATAGGCTGCATTACGCATACGCCCCCTTGTCGATTGGGCAATGGTGTCCAGATAAATCTGCCTGAAATCCCTTTGGGCTACAACATGAAGCACCTCAAAATGCAGTCAAGCAAAACCCCCCCCCCCCCCAAAAAAAAAAACTTTCGTTAATTGCAGAGTTCGGGTCCCATAATTCACAGAATCGAACGGATAATCTATGGTGGGTCAGGGCACGTTTTTGGCCCATCTCCGACGCTGGTTAAATGCCAAATGCAATGGGCAAAAACGGGCAAAAAACTAGACCTGGAACTGGGACTGGGACTAGAGTTGGACAGGACAACTTGTTTCCTTTTGACTTGCTAATTGCTATGAAATGAAAATGAAAATGAAATGGAATGAAATCAAATGGCAAGAGAAATACTATATCGGACGACAAACGATTTTCATTTCTCTTACGAGTCTAAGCCCAGACGCACGCGCTCCATTAAGCCAGACAAACATGCGGCAAATGTTTATTCATAACTGGATCGACTCCGACTTGGACTCCGACTTCGAGTTGGAATCGGAGTACGACGAGTGGTGCGGTACGAGTCGCAAGAGTAGTCCAGAGTCTGGGTCTGGACTAGCAGCCTGATCTCCGATCTCATTCGGTCAGTCAGTCAGTTAGTGTCTGCTGGTCGGAAACCGAGTTTGCGAGTTTTATCTGGCTCTCTCGTTGTTCCCCATCAAATAAAAGCACTTTTTTCTATTGATTTGTTGCCAGATTTCTTGTTTTCCTTGCTTTGTTTATATAATGAACACTGCCACCGAGCGGCACTTCCCCTCGAAAGAGTCCACCACCCTCCCATCCCCCCCACCCGTTCGGTGACCATTCGCAACTCTCAGTTATGCGGGTGCTTGTCTCACATAACGCTGCTCAACGTTCGATACGTTGCATTCGAGATACGATTTGATGCGATGCCTGGATCCCTCCCCACCGTCAATCGGAATAATCGGAATCGCAAAGGGGGAGCGACTGCGACTGCGACTGTCGCCGGCGTCGTGCTCAAGTGGGGGCCCAACGCTATAACCTTAGTCGCGGTGCTACGAGTATTTGCTGCTATCTTTATATAAATCATTATGGCTGTTGTTGTTGTTATTGTTGCTGTCGCTGGAGGCTGCCTGCTCCATCGTTGCCAATGTCGTCGCCAATGCTAAGCTACCGTTAGGTTGTAAATGGGGGAAGTTACGACAAAGTTCAGTTAATTGCCCTGATGGTTGGAGGAGGGGAAGGGAAGGGAAAAGAAATGTGGAAACTGTGAGCAGAGAGCGACAGAGGTGTCGGAAGAAAATCAGAGAGAGCGACTACTTAAGAGTGGGGAAAGCATATAATTCAAGAATAAAACCGGAAATGAGTTAATGTGCAACTAATTGTGGAGTACAAATTGGTAAAGAATGAAGATCAGGAGAATTGGCTGTAGACGGATCGAATCTATATAAAAAACGAGAAACTTTGGGAACTCGCAAGACTAAAAGGCTGTCTTAAACGATTGCAGCTGGAGATTCCTATGATTTGAAATGGTTAAGACTTTGAAGTAGCATGAAGACCAACTCGCGGAATGGTTATGAGCAATGAGAATGGTATCTGCATGAAATGCATCTTCTTTTACATATTCGTATATCCTGTTATGTCTTACTTATTCCTTTTTAGTCTATGTGCTCCTGCTCTCTGCTCTAAGCGATTAAGATCCATATATGAATAAATACTGGTATTCTGGTATTCCTTCCGCATTTATACTCCACTTCAAGACCAGTAGCTCCGCCAACTTCCCCTTCTAAATAGCAGCACTCCCTCTTGCGAGTCGCTTACATAATGTCAGGGGTACAGAGAAGAAGATGCCGTTCAAGGCCGCTCTTGTGAACACGTTCACCGTTCGGTTGTGGGGACCTTTCTTTGCCATCAGCCAAGTCAGGGACTGTCGCGGCTGAAGGCCTTTTAAGGCCTTTCCTGGCTTGGTCGTGTCGCTGCACTTACCAATTAAAATGCATGGCTAGGACAGCTCCAAAAAAGCACTTGAATGCGATACGAATCGCGAACGGGAACGAGTACGGGAATGGTCGAAACAGAGAGGCAGCAACAGAGAGGCAGCAACAGCAGGCAGCAACAACCGACAAATTTTAAAACGCTGCGAACCCGTTTTAAATGTACAGAAATTTACATAATGTGCTCCAAATGGGCAGCAGGCAAATATAAATCTCAAGACAGGCCGAACGCCGAAAAAAAAGCGGCTAAAAATAATGGAAAAAATAGGAGCCCCCAGCAGCAGCAGCAACAGCAACAACAACACCAACAGCAATGACAATGACAATTGTTCGCGACAATTGCGGAAAAAGGCCACAAGTTGCCGAAAACTAAAATAAAATGAAAAATAGAAAAAATGTCCGATCGAAATGGAAAATCTGGCGGGCATGCAAAGTGAAGTTCATGGAAAATCATGGAGAATTTTGCATATGAAAGTTGTTGTCTGGGCCAATTGAAGGGGAACTGCAAATGCAACTGCAACTGCAAGTGAAACTGAAACTAAAACTCAAACTGAAACTGAAACTGAAACTGATTGAGCAACCCCAGACGATGTCTGGCGATTTATGTTATTGAACCTTGCTTTATGCTTTATGCAAATTGAAATTCAATGAGTAATTGTTACAGATTTCGGGGTTTGTTTTAATAAGATTTTTCATCATTATTTTTGAGTTTTGTTGAGAAATGAAAGTCCCAAAAGATTAAAGAGTTTGTTTCCCCGAGATACTTCCTTCAAGAGGGTGCCACTTACTTTTGCCCAGTACGGGTTGCACGTTGCACGTTGCGGCTGCGCAGTGCAGCCCAGCAGACTATGTGTAGGCAGCAATATCAATGGCAAACACTTGAAAACTGAACCACTTTGCTTAGCCGCCACGCGGGCTCTGAAGTGTTTGGAGTGCACTCTGGGTTTATCAACGCTCACCCAGTCCCCAATTTTGCGAAGGCAGATGAGATCTGACTTGAGATTTTAGATTGTCAACTTGGGGACTGGGGACTGGGGACTGGGGAGAATTCTCTGACAGCACGAAAATCGTGGCAAGACATAATTACATACCCCTCACATGAACATAACATAACTCTATCTGTGCCCCTATCTGTATCTACATATATCTACGAGTACGAGTATTGGTAGTCGTATTTGTTTGGAAAATTAGATCATTCTCTGGTGCAATTCTTCCTCGCCTCGATGTGATTTAATTAACTTTTTGCGCTCTGGCAGCGAACAATAATTGCAAGTCCATGGTGCCTCATGCCCCGAATCGGATTCAATAAGCACCCAGGCAAACAACAAAAGGGCATGATGCCGCACTTTGGGACCCGGACTCAGGGTACTCAGGGTACTCCGGGCACACACACAAAAACGAGCGCCGACCGCGCTTGTAACCGCAAATTAGTTTCAAACATCACACAATCCAGCAAAAGGCACAAAAACAGGCAACAAAACTGCACTCTGCCTGTGCGGCTGCCCCTGCCTCTGTGGAGCAGCCACTGGTGGCAGGCAGCCAGGCCACATAAAGCCTTGCAAAATTTGAAAATCCATTGCAATAATAACCATAACCCAAAGCCCCCTCTGCTATGTCTGTCTTTCGCTCGTCAGCTGTAAAATCGACAAACGATGTTCGCCTTTATTCTGTATTATTTTTGGTTTTTCTTCTCCTTTTTTTTTTTTTTTTTTTTTTGTTTTCTCAGTTTTGTATACTTTTCAGATTGTTAGTTGTTTTTATTTTCTTTAGATTTTTTTTGTTGGTCTCTTTTTTTTATTGCTAGCAAAACGAAGATCTTTCAATGCTGATAGTAAAAGTGACGCATCATATGGAGCTGACGGAGCGACCAGGCTGTGAATGTAACCAGAGGGTGTATGGGGCATATACGACTAGGGATTGAGGGAAGTTCTAGGAAAGAACCAATGCTTCAGGTTTCTAAAATCGTATAGCTGCCAAACTGAATGATTCAGTGCCACTTTGAATGGATATAGTGGCGAATTTAATCCCCTAGACCTCACTTGTTAAGCACCATATTCCCCTGTTAATTTCCCACTAATAAGTACCACCGCGTCCATCCCCCCGCCCGAACGTTCTAATACGTTGTTTCATGAGTCAATGACAGAGAGAGACAAGACACAACCATTTCGTACATGTTTACAACTCATTTTGCAATATTCACGTATTTACAAATACACACCAAAAACGTGCCTCGGGATGCGATGTCCCGCGACGACAATCACTTTGAAAGGGTCGTGTGGATTTTTCAGATTTTGCATGCTGAAAGCTGTCCAGCATCTAAAAGAATCGAAAGAGGTGTTTTGCAATACATGAATGCTAAATTTGGTAACCATCTAGGCAGCAACAATGGCAGCCACAATAGAAGCTATAATAATCATCAATAATACTCTAAGATGGCAAAGAGCTTTCGGCTTAGCCGGTTTTCAGAGGATCGCAGCTTAGTAAACGATTATGGCTTAATTTTGTAAAGCTTCTCCTACAAAAAAACCCCTACACACACACACAAAACAAAAAAATTAAATCTCTATAGCATAATATTCGAAAAACCGCAAAACGGAGTTCATGAGAGTTTGAGAGTTGAAAAACAAAAAAAAAATTAGATTTATTTGCGGTTGCAGAAATTGTTTCAAATGCGAATCGTCTTTGAGTGGGGCACGTGGTTGGGGGCACAATTAATAACTTGGTTTGTTTTCGCCTCTAGTCGGAAGTAATCATGGCAGATTATCTTAAATTGGCTATTAATAAAATTAGATTGAAGTTTGCTATTGAGATTTGTACTATAATAAATAAAAATAAAATGTAAAAGAAATCCATAATCATTTGATTGCTGGAAGAGAATTATCGCCAAAATTGTGCCAGCTAAAATTTAATTTATTTTCCAATCTTTTTCCTGTTCAGAATACCAGCACCCATCAGAAATATTTCTTACCATTGAAAAATGATGTCTGCATTATTTGTGAGTACACTTTTCCTGTACAGAATTTTCTTGTTTTAAATTGTGCAATTTGTCTGCAATGTTTCTCTAGGACCACCACCCAACTGAAACATTTCTTAGCCACCGAAAATGAGGCTTAAATTATTGGCTGGCATTTAACATGACAGCCACATTAAATTGTCCACTTGGGCAACCTGTGCCGGTGCCATATATACTTATATATGTACGAATATCCAGCCATATATATGCCCATATGTTTTATATAGGAGTCAAGCAGGCTGCTGCTGCTGCTGCTGCTGCTGCCGGCGTTAGCTATAATTGAGGTTTGACGTATCTGGCCGGACCGTGCCAGCCCGGGCTCGGGTTCATACTCTGTCTCTGTCTCTGGCTCTGGCTTGCGGCCTAAACCTCTCCTCTGGCTGGGCGCGCGAGGAAATGCAAGCGACGACGACGAGCCGTCGACATCTGGCAGTGGCAAAAAAAAAATTAACTATTTCTATTTATTTAGTTACAGTTACAGTTTTGGTTGAAGTTTTTTTTAATTGTCACTTTCATTGGGACCCGAAAAATCTCAACGATTTTAATTCAATCTTAATGCGCCCAAATGAGTGTGGGGATTGTGTAAGTCAATGTTTGTATCTCTGGCTGGACTCGGGCTGGTCCGTGGCTGATCTCTGGACTCTGGTCTGGTTTCTGGCTCTGGACTCTGGCTGGACTCTGGTCTGGTTTCTGGCTCTGGACTCTGACTGGACTCTGTCTGGTTTCTGGCTCTGGTGTCCCGCCTGATGCAATCACGTACTGGAACAAATTATTTTAATACTTTTTACTGCAAATGCATCTCATAACTCATTCAACTCATTCCACTCAGATAGCATATACGCTTATTGAACGATCTAATCTTAGTTTTATGCAAAGCAACGGGCTCTGAGAAGTCTTTGCGGCCGAGGACCAGTTCTTGGTCTGGCTCTAACCTTGGGCCACAAACATGACACTAAGAAGACGCTTCCAGTTTGTAAAGAAACCAACATCCGTTGTGCAATGGCTCTGGCCGTACAACTGGTTGCAATTACATCTTGGCCAGAACCATTAACAGTTATTAAGATCAAATCGAAATTCAATTTATTTGTAAATCCAACGTTTAGTTAATACTATGCTGTTTTTATGTACGCAGATTAGCAGCAATCAAGATTATAGAACGGGTAGGCCATAACTGGCTGCGGTGACACCCCCAACGTATGAGTGATATTACGCTGAAACATTAAGTGCACGTTGAAGTGTTGGCATGACCAAATATGACAGCAAATTGGCCAAATCAACGGCTTTGAAATTTCACGGCTTAAGCGAATTTAGTAGTAGTAGTAGTGGTAGTAATAGTAGTAGTAGTAGCAGTAGTAGCAGTAGTAGAAGTGTGCTCTTTATCTAATTTGTTTTAAAAATAAACTGTTAGTTAATAATCGTACAAGTTCAAATAAATAAATTCGTATATACATACAAATTATTATCAAATATTAGTATATACATTTAGTATACATTATAATTGAATAGTTGGCTTTTTTGCCGCACTTGTAAACGCCCTAAAGTAGTCTATGAAAATTGTACAGCTCAATAATTTTAGTATAGACGCAAACCCTGCCATCAAGCCAAGCATTTTACTTGGCCTAAAGCTTCTGTTCGTCTACCAGCTGTTACCACTTTTTAACAACTCGTGGGCCAGGCCAAAGCCACCGGAAGCGTTGTCTACACAATCAATTAAGCCACACAAATTGGCCATCCAAACGAATAGCCAATAAGAAAGCAGAAAAAGAGAAGCAAAGCAGTTTATGTAAGCAGTTGCAAATTTGGCAGACTGTGAAAAGTTTTTATCAACGTAAGCTGTTAAGTATTTTTTACCTTCCTACCACCACCCACCATTTTTCAAACGGGATTTTAGTGTGTTTGTATGAACAAAATCCAACGGTCGGAAACAAAATTGAAACACAATAAACTATGATTTGAACTATTTGTGTGCATGTGCATTCGAGTATGAGTAAAACATTCAATATTCCGCTCATCCGAAAGTGCTGTTTGGTGCTATGGGAACCATATATGTATGTGTAAACAAGAGGATCAGGATTCATACTTCCAAATGTCATCGTTTAGAGCAACAGAAATAGTTCACAATACTGCGCTAAATGATTCGGGGCCAGATAGTTTTAGTATGTACATTTAGTATATATTTTAGCTGAAAAGTTTGCTTTATTTTCCTGTCTTCGCCTTAAAGCAGTCTATGAACATTTTTCTGCTCAACAACTTTAGTGCATACTAAACCCTGACTTCAAGCCAAGCTTTTTTACTTGGTCCAAAGCTGCTGTTCGTCTACCAGCTGTTGCCACTTTTGACCAACTCGTGGGTCAGGCAAAAGCCACCGGAAGAAATGTCTACAGAGCCAATTAAGCCACACAAATGGGCCATCCAAACGAATAGCAGAAAAACACAAGTAAAGCAAACAGAAGCTTATGTAAGCAGATGCAAATTTCGCAGACCGTGAAAAGTTTTTGTCAACATAAATCTTTGTGGGAAAGCCCGAAAGGAAACAGCAAACTTTGAATAAACTCATAGTATGGCTATATTTTCCATTGCAACCGCAAATGAAATAGAGCTTTCATCGCGTTCAATTGGCCATGAGACACATCGATTTAGGCCTGGTCCCAATGGGCCGCAAACTGAATTTATGAATGCGAAAGTGTAAATTGTAACGCCAACATGGAGCGCTCTCAAAGCTGCATTTCGATTGAGACATCTGCTCATTACAAATGTCAGAGACGTAGAAAAGTATATATTATAGAAGCATGATGCTGGTAAAAACTATTCGGAAGTAGTATCCAGCTAGACAGATATTAAAGTTGTGAACGCTGTCGGCAGACAAAAGATCCACTATAAAGCCAGTGCAGATCCTTTGGCCCACTCCAAAAAAAATCAACATACAGTCTAAAAACCCGTTTTGAGCTATTTAAATATGCGACACTAAACAATCGAAAATGAGCTGTCCCAAAATTCCACTTCCGAACACTTAAAAGGGTGCAGAAGGTCCTTCACAGAAAATAAGCGATTGCAGAAAGATTGAGCCCGGCTTCTTCTAAGCAGAGCCATGGCCTGGCACCCATCTATATAAAATGCATGGCAAGGAAGGATTCAGGCGATTCAAAAGAGGGATACGAATCCATTTTATATTCTCTGTCTGAGGTTCGGACTCAGAGCTCGAATTTCCTTGGATGATATTCATTTGATTCTAAGAGTCTATGTATATTCCTTTTTTTCGGAATAAAGGACGAGAGTAGTCTTTTGTTTATTTATTAATCGATAAGATTTATAAATATAAAAAAAGATATTCAATAAATAAATAAATATTCAATAAATTATTATCTTTTTCTCTTGAAGTTGAAATAAAAACACAGCTATTTTCATATTTCCACTTACAAAAATATCTTTTCCGAAACTTTATTATACAGAAATTTTCACATAACTTAAGTAAGATTAACCTCGTCGTTTTCCTCTTCGTTTGTGGTCCAGATCTCAGCGTAGATCTCAAAGATCTTCATGCAAGCTACACTGAGAAAGGCCATCAAAATGTTTTGCGGAAGAGTTAGAACTAAATTTGCTTAACAAAACTAAGAAAAAAAATCGCGTCGAGTGGGCGGTTTAGTAGTGGCCCGCATAAGGACTCGCATAGTGTCCGTAGTTTCCGGAATCGTACTGGGGAATATACTCGTACTGTTGTCCCTGGTTGTAGTAGCCATCGTCATAGTCGTAGTGGATGGGGGCAGCAGGCGCTGGGGCATAATGCTTGGACACTTGAAGATTGAATATATTCAGACATTAGCATTGGATGTGCGGTTGGGGGCTGGCTTAAATTTATTTCGATTTCTGTGGCTCTTGTTGCAATAATGACCGACAAAAAAAGTCAGTGTGGTAACAGCTGTTGCCGGCTGTCTTTCTGCTATTGCTGGTAAGTAGCTCCACAAAGCAAACAAAGCCAACAAAATACTATTTCAATGCTGAACAAGCAATTTTCTTGGCAATTTCTTTTGGCTGGTTACTTTTTTTCTTTGCCAATAAGTTTTTGTGCACGAGTTTTGTAAAGTCAATTGGTCACAGGTGCTGTTCAGATTGAGATATTAGTTTGTTTTACTCTTAAGGAGGGTATTTATGACTTTGATTAGATGTTTGCCATGTAGAGTACTATTTCCCAAAGGTGAAAAGATATACAGCTGAAATTTTGTACAGATTATGGTGACAATATCCTGTGTTTTTAGTAGAAAATATGTTTTTGGAAGGGTATCGAAGTCTTCGGGACCTTTCCTCTCGTTTTTGCTCATTTTTCTAGTTGGCTTTTCTTTATCGTATTTTGTATGCAAAAAGCGTCTGTGATTAAGTTCGCTGCCTAAGTCTTTTGTTTGGGCGTTGGTTTCTTTCGCTGTGCGTTTCGCTGATAATTCTCAATTAACATTGCACCGCAGCACCCACAACAATTATGAGTTTTCACATGTATTCACCATGCATCCACCATGTATTCGTTTCCCAAGCCTCCAACAACAAAGCATTGCGACATTGAGAAAATTATGTTGAAGTCTTTATGGGGGAGTACTGCTGGGACTGGGGAGAATGGAAATTTTTGAAGAAGAGGCAGCAATTTTCCATGAAATATGTGTTGTGGCTGCTGTGTGTTTGTTTTTTTTTGGAAAGATGATGCACTGACATAATCTTTGTGGGAAATACGAACCGAAAGTGCAACCTGCACAAAAACAAAGCCAGATCTTTGGCTCAGATCGCAGTAAAAGTGAGGTAACCGTTTGGTGGGCGTGTCGTGGATTAGTCAACCATGTTATGTTACACATTTGTGGGCCAGTTCCGCCCCTCCAGGCCATTAGCAAGTGATTCAGCTTAGCCGCTCGACTGCGCCGCTCGCATATACGTATGATATGTGCAATTTATTGAATGAATTTGCTAATGCAACTGCCACCCAAGCTAGAAATCGATGATTACAATGGAATTATGGTAAGATATTCAGTACAAAGAAGGCAGCGACAAACTCAGACTCAGACTCAGACTCAGTAGGCTGCATAGTAATCAACTCCAAGATCATCGTCATCAGCATCGTCTTCGTCTGGGCGCAATTTGCGATATTGATTGTTCAGATAGTTGGCATGACGCCTGAACAGCTTTAGCATGCGATAGGTGTTCATGCCTAGAAGAGCAAGCAGAGATCAGGTGGAATTGGGTGGGTGGAACCACAATATCATCAGCTACTACCTACTACTTGGGTGTGGGATTGGGTGAGAAGAAGAAGTGCGACCAAGGTGAAATTGAGGTGAAGGCCAACTAGGAAGGTGCTTCTAATCCCCCAAACTAGGAACTGTAAAACCTCCTGTTGCAGAAAACTCACCATAGGGCGCCGGGGAGGCAGCCACCACCAGTGGGGCAGCGGCCACAGGTGCCACATGATTCACATAGTGCGGCTGCGGCTCATAGTGGCTGAGAATGGGCTTGTGGGCCACAATCGGCTTTGCCACCAAAGCCTGGGCGTGGACAGTGGGTCCGGACTTGGTCACAACAGCATTGAAGCCATGAATGGAGTCCGCCGTGTAGTCCACAGTGCGGATGGAACCATCGGGCTCAACCAAAGAGTACTGGCCTAAAGGAGGAGAATTTAATGATTAACAAACTGTTTTGATGGAGCTGTTCCACCAGTATTACCCTTGACTACATCTCCATCGCGGGTCTCATGCTGGGATTTCACATCTCCTGTGGTGTGATCGGCCACGCCATAGTTGAAGGCATATTTGGGATGATCCTGATGCAGAAAAAGATAGGATAATATAGAGCAATGTAAGAATTACTTAATTGGAAAAGGAAGCTTAGCTTCGAATGACAAACTATATTGAAATCAATATGGAAAGGGATCCTTGGTACACAGAAAGTGGCTTCGAAGAGTCCTTTCATATGAATTAACATTTAATACTTCAAATTTGGAGTTAGATTACTTTAATTTATATTTTTTAGTTGTTGTTTCACTTTTGGAGGTAATTTCATCTCATTAAGGTCCTGAATTGGCTTCCCACATTCTTTCACATTGATAAACCATTTTTAGTTTCTTTTCATCCTTTATAGTCCTTATTAGTCCTTATTCCAATAATAACTCACATAGTAGTCCAGAGCATATCCTGGTCGAGCTACAGCCACACTGGCGAACAGAGCCAACGAAAGGATCACAAAGCACACGATATTTGCCATTTTATATATTGGGCTATTTATTTTCTGTTTCAAAATTGATTTGAGATGGAGAAAATATGTGCTAAAAAAAAAAAAACACAGAAACAAAGTTCGTTAAAAAAAACTCCACGGGGATTTTTAGTCTTTGAAGATTTACTTGGAGTATTTCAACGGCACTAGATACAAACGCTGCGAAGTTGCCCGGAATACTGTGGCGGTTCTGAAAGCCAGTTTCCATTAAATAAGCGCGAAAATGTGCGAAAGCCACTGGCAGAGCAGCCGACAGAGCAGTCAACGGCAGAGCAGTCGGCAGAGGCACCACAATGCCAAGACTTTTGATTTCTCAGTCAGTCAACTGTGGCGAATGCTGCCCCCACGGCGGTGCTCCAGCTCTGCTCTCAGGTCTGCCACAGCGCTGCTCCAGCTCTGCCTGTCTTTCCGCAACAGTCTGCCACACTCTTCCACACTCTTTGTTCCAGCTCTGATCCACTCTGCAACAGAGTCTGCCATGGTGGTGCCATGTGAATGAAGCTGGATGTTACAGCATGGAGTGGCAGCCATGGGATGTTGCCCCACTGAATGGGGTGGCACGGCGGCCCCCGATTGAATGGGGTGTCGTTGTTGTTTGTTGTCTACCCATTGGCGACACATTTCTCAAAATCCGCTACCAATCCCATGACGTTTCTGAGACAAGACAGTCACTTCTCTTCAGAATTATGCGAGATTAATCATTCGAGTTAATCATGAATTTCCTTGATTTCTGCAAGAAATGATTGTTGGCCCAAAAGCAAGACCAATTGAGTTAACAACTTAATTCTCAATCAAGTAACAAAAACCGAAATCGAAACCGAAAATTAATCGTTAAGTCTCCAAGAACCGAATCTCAAACTAAATCAAATACGAATCGGGTCAAGTTGCAACTGGCAATTGCAGTTGCAGCGTACAATACGAGGGCCTAGTTATTTGGCACATGCGAAATTCTCAGTGATCTACTTCAATGACAGCAATGGCAGCCAGCAACTACAGTAAAAACTGCTGCCACTGGACCTCTCTATGGGGTCTCTGGCTCACAGCATTCAGCCGAAGGTCAAGCGCATTATGCCAGACTCTAGACGTGGCTGCCATTCTGGCCCAGGCCTCAAATGAAAGCAAAAGTCGCTTAGGAACGAACGATTTATGACAATCTGCAAATTAAATGAATCGTATTCCTTAGCTGGTTCTAGAACTGACCTTTCGGTTAGCATTAGGTATTTACTGTATTGGGGGAGAAGGGGTTTCTGCAGATCAAAAAGAAGATACTTGTATGATGTGGATACTTGTAATTCAAATAATGTGGATACTGTGGATTAAATAAACCTAAAAAGATGTTGCTGGAGATGTCATGACTGTTGCTTAAACATTCAAAGTTCTAACATCTTCCAACTCATTTTTTCCAATCCCAAACAAAAACCCCAAACTGAGACAGATTTTCAATCAATAATCTTTACGTTTATGCACATCCTTGAACCGCGACGAGAACGTGCCAATTGCGGTCTGTCCATTAGACAACAAACTAATTTTAAATATTGTCGAACCGCAAATGAGTCGGCAGTGATTTGTGCAAGTTTTTGCGGCTCAAATAGTACTCGTAATGTTAGCTGCTTTAATGCAATGTTTAGGTCAACATTTCTTGTGGATTTTCACATAATTAACCGCTGCGAGGGGCGGTGCTAGAGACTCTAATTAAACGCGTGGAGGGAGAGCTTCAGCCATAATCTGAAACTGACCTGACCAGAAAAAAAACAGAAGTAAACCTCCTATGGAAACCAGAAAAAAGGCCTGAAACAACCTTCGGAGTGGCATGAAAACAATTGTCTCCAATTTTTTTTGGCTTCGACTGCGGTTTTTTTAAAACTAAATACTAGATTAAGTCAATTTGCATGCCGCCAAAGTATTTTGCTACCTAGACTTGGGAAAATTCAACTAACCAACGATTGTCGGCGTTTTCCGAAGGTTTTCCATATGCAGTCGGAGTCTTTTTCTAGTTCTTTTTGCTGGCCTGTAAGTAGACATCATGACACATGTGCGTGGCTGGGCATTGTTTCGCTTTTTTGGGAATTAACTTAAACATACTCGCGTTTAAGTTGCGGTAAAACTTGGCAAATATTCATAAATAGGGGATATTTATGACGTAAAATGGGTGGGGGTCTGGGTGAAGGGCAGTTTAGAAGGGGACTCAAGAGTGGTATGCGATCAAGCTGGAATGGATTTGAATGGAGAAATTACTTGAACAAATATCTGTTTGGAGAAATCTTGTATAGATTGAAGTCCTTTGAAGCAGCTCCAGAACGTATTTTCCATCAGCCTCCCACAATGGAAAATCTCTCTTCTCTCTGGAAACCCCGCCTTCAGAGTGAATAGCACCTCATTGGCAAACCAAAGCCATTCTGCAGTCAAGTGCGACACTCAAGGGAATCGGCAGTGCAATTTTTGCCATGAGGCCGCACATTTAGCTTTAAGCAGCTTGGATCATGGCTGAAATGGCTCCCCCCCACCCTGAATGGTGACTTTGACTTGGTTTACTTTCGGTCACCTAATTCCAGCTTGTTTGCACACCGACTAATTTGACAATGGAGCGGACAGGGCACCACTCGGCAACGTTCGACAAGGGGCTTGCTTGCAACATGGGGAATGAAATGAGTCTGGAATGACTATCCGGCCAAGGTGCGAATGTTGCAAGTCAAGCGCTTGAGTGTGGGCGGATGGTGTGCTACTCTTTTTCTCTGCTTGCCGCTGTCATTGTTGTCGCCCTTAGTTGGCCATGGTTGAGTGCCCCAGCGCACTGCCGCATCGCATCTCCAATTGAGTGACCATTGTTAGCCAGGTAGCCGTAGCCCTGTGTTACAGTTTGACCCGTGGCAAATGCGTTCGCTGTAATAAAATGCAAATGAATGGAGCCGCGGGCTGGGCTGAGCTGGGCCGGGCTCCATCTCTGGGCCTGGGCTCTGCTATAAATTTCAAGCGAATTCTTCGCACCTTTTCAGCCAATTTGTTGCAGACTGTTTGCCATGCATCAAATTAACGGCTCAAATAATCCAGTTAACATTGTTATATAATTGACTCTGACAGTCGGTGGGCCGTGATTATGCACGGCTCTCTTCTCTCCAGCGAATAATGGCATGCATTTTCCATTATTTATGCGCGCTTCTACTTAACTTCTATTTGATTATGTCCGATCGGTACTTGTACAACATTATTCACTAATTAATGGAATTTTTCAATTACGCAGACAGCCAGACGACATTTAGCGTTTTTACAGTGGTTTAAAGAAGGTTTTTCAAAGGGAGATGTCGAAATAAAGGTAGCTCTGAATGGGTATCGCTGGATATGCGTAATATGATAAGGATATTTTAATTTTAAATCATAACTTCATAGCATTTTGCAAAACATATTTTTTCATCCATAGAAAATGCCAAACTTTCATTTCGTTTATATTTTATAAAGTTTATTAAGTTTTTTTCATTGTATGTAATTCCATTCATAATTGATGCAAATGCATGCCATATGGAAATCCAATCACAATTCCTTTAAAAATGATCTCCATTTATAGATTTCACTACAAATTTGACATGCTCGAACAAATTTTTCAGCAATAGTTTCACACTGTGCCGCACAGCCACAAAACAAATCTCTCGACACGACAAGCAAGAGTACGTGTATCTCATCCTCTTCTCGCCGAACGAAACCAGTAGCTATTTTATTATCTATAAATTGTATCGGCATCGATCGATGCATATCTTTGAGGTTGTATCTTAATGCTGCCGCAACAGAGAGACTAACACAGAGAGATATTCGTACAGAAACTGCAATCGATACCATATAGAGAGCACGTGTTGGCGACAGTTTATTGAGGCAGTCATCTTGAATGTCAACTAGTTATAGTCTCTCGAAAAAATAAACAGCAAAATTGAAAACTAAAACTTTAGTAACTGTCATTCATCGATGAAGAAGTTGGTGGCTAACTAAAGGTTATTGGAGCACTGCATGTAGATACACATACTGGTACGAGTACTTTTGAGTCCGATTCAAGTTTCCATTCCATTTGGCATTGAGCGGAGTTACATGGGAGTTTTGGCATAGCAGAATCAGTGGATCTCAGGGGGAAGTAGAATTACTCTCCATACTCGAGTTGGATCTAGTTAGCCAGCGGAAACTTCCTTCCGGCATTTCCCATCAGCCTGACCTTAACTGCTGGTGAATCCGCGCCCCAAAGGCGGCAACTGTCGGATTCGGCTTTTCGGTCGCATTTAGACTCTCTAGCTAATTAATGGACTCCACGTATGAGATATTTACCCTTTTGTTTTTTCTGTTTTGCGTACATTTAAACGCTTCGCTGATTCCAGATCTCGGATAAACGCTTCTTCCCCCAACCAGAGCATTTGCACTGTTTTCATGGGTGTCTCTATTCGGATTGTTAGACATTTGTTTAGCCAGGTCCACGTTGTGCCCATTAAGAGATCAATATTTCGCTTTGTTGCTGGCGTTCGCACGTTAAAAGTGACGGAAATGACAAGATTTGTTGCATGCGGAAGCATCTCTTCTGACTTAAATGTTTCAAAGTTATGGTTTATTGTCTTTTGTAGAGAGAGTGACGCCCCCGAACTTGTGACCGCATTGGGTGGCAGCTTGTTTACCAACAGAAAAAGCAGGGGCATCTATTTGCGGTTTTCTTCCAAGGGGAGAAAAATTAGTAAGATGATATGTAAGGGTTTAGTGAGTGACTCCCATTGGCACTGCAAGATGACGGCTAACTGTAATAGTTATTGACGATTGTTTAGAGTGGTATATGAAATGGAGTTTGGAATTCACAGCAAAAGTTATATGAACATCTGATGTTCTGAAAATGTAATTCCGATAATTATCGCTGAATTGTTTTACGTGGGCTTCCGCCTATTAACTGATAGACCAACACTACTTCTGTCTACAGGCATCTGTCAGTTGGCTCCTGTCAAAATTTAAAGAAGCTGCGTTACTTAGTATGTGTTTGACAGCCCTTGATA